AGAAAATTATGAAAAACAGACTTCATGAAAATAATGTTGCTTGTCCAATTACTATTAATAATATGCTTTCTCATTTTGAAATAATTTTTTTTTTAACTGCCATTAAATTCAATCTCTTGTTTCTTTCATCGTAATTTTAGATGTCTTTCATTGCAACAGCGCAGATCATCATTCAAAAGCTATGAACTGGTTTATTTGATTGGTTCCGAAAATACAAATTAATTGAAGGAAGTACAATAAAAATATTACGCATTTTTTACGACGCTTCATATAATGAAAGCATCCAGATATATTGCAGTATAATTTCGTCTTATATTTAATATTTGTTTATCTAAAATGTTTTAATGAAATTAGTCTAAACGTATTATTATATATATATATATATATATATATATATATATATATATATTCCTTTATTAAGAATGAGCGCTTCTACGTGAAATGATCGTATCATATATTATTATTATCATTATCATTATTATTATTATTTGTGGGACTCTCTTGTTGGTCGTTAATTTTAAGTGCTTAATTATAAAGTTTCCACCGAGTTATATGACTAATAAAGTGACCATATTTACCCATAGTTTATTTTGAATTTGTTGAATTCTTTTATTACTGAATAAAGATGCTTATTTCTTTCAGGTTCTTTGATACAGATCATCATACAATCTTCTATAGTTTCCCGGTAATTTCGAAAACCGATAGTTATTAGATAGTAAGCAAATTCTTGTTTAAATTTTTGGAATTTTCGTATAGTTTGCTTTACATAGTTTTTGGTCATGTACAATTTAAAATTATATTCTTGTACAGGTATATCCTTCATCCTTTTTTGTTCTCGTTTGATTTGCTCCAGTTATTTCGGTTTGGGTTGCTCCATTTATTCTCCCAAAATTTTTGCATTTCTTTAATAGGTGGAGGCTTTTTCATTTCTATAACTTCTTCTGCAATTTCCCTGTAAAGCTTCTTGACGTCCGTTTGAAATATCTTATTTTGTCGATAGAACCTAGAACGATTTTGATATCGATTTATTTTCTTATCCTTTAATTACAGTTTCTATTTAAGCATATTGTTGTGGTAGGACCCACCTAATTTGCATAGTGGAGTACCGACCATATAAACATGGTTGGTACCGGGAAGAGAGGGAGGAATCAGGAGATTCACTCTCAGTCAAACTCTCTGCATTTTGCAGTGAGGGAGCCGGACGAGGCTTTGCCGAGAGACAGGGTTTCGTCCGGGGTGGTAGACAGGCCTTGGACCCGTCTAGGCGGGTTCAGAAAGGCCATATTTTTGGCCGAGCCTACGGGCTCGGAGATTTTATCCTCGTAGGTGGATAGATAAATACAGGAATCAAGAGATTCAACCAGAGACTCTGCCCGACTGCGACTCAGTCAACACATTCTCCAGGAACGGTCTTACCAGGAATATACAAAAGGCTATATGTAAATATTGTGTACATTTTCTTGTTTCAATACATTTTGTTCTAAGTACATTTTGTGTTGCATTATTATTCCATGCATTAGTCAAGTTTCAACACATACTGGATTAATGAATTATGATTTACTGTTTTAAGCTTATATTTTCGCTTGATCCTCCAGATTTTCGGTTTTGAAACATTTTAATTCTTTGTAATCTCATTTAGCATCGATAATTCACATCTTATTTTCTCAATTTATCGCTATAATTTTGGCTCATAAATAGCCATTTCGGTGTGTTTTTTGATCTTCTAAGCAGGCATTTTTTTCTTTTGTTTTATCTTTTGATTAACTATTGCAGTAGCTGATAAAGCTGTTGCCTATATGACATTGTTTACTTCTGTGAAGTTTCCCAGTGATATGTCCGTTAACAATGTTTGAAATGCAACGTTATATGTTTGCACATTATGTCTATTACTATTGGTCATATGGATTTTTGGAAGCTGGTCTCTTTCTGGCATTTGCTTGCGAGTTACTTTGAACATCATTTGAATTCTGTGGTTTTTCAGTTCAGTTAATTTCAAGGAATTCTGCTCTAATGTTGTTTGATTCATCTTTATTATTATTATTATTATTATTATTATTATTATGTTTTGTCACATAGTGTAATATTTGTAATATACATAATACATTAAGTTATTTGTCCAGTCACAACAATGTCCTCAAACAAAAACAAAAAACACTTACTACAAAAATATTCGCAAAAACCAAATTGGAAACGGTGTTGTCTGTCTGAGGTCATTGTTACGACTTGACGGATAACTTATTATTATTATTATTATTATTATTTGCCTATGTAATGTTTCTTGTTTTGTATCTTGTAGAACCTGAAAATCAAACTATGATCCTTAGGTCCTATAGGAGAATTGATAGCAATTTTCTTAATTTATGGGATGTTCATAGTAGGACAATCTTCTACGCAACTTGTATGTTGATGTTACTGGGACATGTTGCAGTTTTTTGTGTATATCTATGTACTAGTGAGTTAGCTCAAATGACTTAACTCACTTTATAGTCCACCAATAGAAGGTTAACCAATCAGAAGACGCAGAACATTCAATCCGTCGTGTATAAAGGTGGCCATTTTTGTTCACTCTACCCGAATGTCCAGTCCAGCTTGTCAGGCGAAGAGAAACAGAAGGACGAACTACGCTCTGCTACTTTTACCAAAATATCCACTGCTGACCTGAACAACGCTTTCCTAATGTCTTCGAAATATTTACTGCTAACCTCTGGATTCTATACGCGAAGACGACCGTCATCATGAATAACAGGACACTCTATGTAAAATTGCCAATTTCTTTTTTCAAGAGGCCCAGAGATCAGATTTTCTATTTGTACAGTCTTAGTCTACATTCACCATATTCTGGTAATCTTGATTTTCAGGACCCTTTAATTGGACAAATCCTCGATAATTTTCATGGTGGTGTTTCTCTCAGATGGCACTGCTATGTCAATAAGCATAAACTTCCTGATTTTCATATCTTTTTTGATAAAAATAACAAGAAATTCTGGAAGTGTAATTATTATTATTATTCACTGGGTTACCCAGATTTATTTCTCTGGTTGGTCATTATTTTCGATCGTATACTGCCTCGCCTTTTTCAGGTGTCTGTCGTCATTATTAATCTTCGGGAAATTTCTCACTGGACACTATTTTTCTGTCCACGTGATTATATTGTGTTCATTGCTTTTAGTATCATACAATCGACACCAGAAGACAGTTGAAGATTAAAACGTCCGTAAGACATTAATATAAAACGCAAGACGACATTAACCGGAAGAATAATGTTAAGGCCTCATTTATAAATCAAGAGAAATTTAATTATTTTATGCTAAATTCTATTCTTTTCCAAATTCTTCAAATTGCTTCCTCATGTCTTATCCGAAAATACATTAAGGTGAAAAATATTTTGTCTGAGCATGAAGTAGTCGATAATGAGCACGTCTTTTAGGGCGACTTGTTCGCGCTTATTTCCCTGCATATCGATTAAACGCAGTAAAAAAAAAAAACAATATGGATACTGGTGTTTTCGTTTTGGTATACGAAGATTTGGGAATATCTCTAGTAACTAGGCATTTTCTATCGTTTTAAACACGTAAACATTTAATTAGACTAATACATTTTTCTAGCTCTACCGATAAAAAAATGCCCCGTGTAAAAACGTATTTCCTCATTTGTTACCTCTATGTACAAGGTGTAAGGAAATGTTTTCCTCCAAAATGTCGTCAATGATGGCGCGCTGAACAGGTATTTCTCCTGTCATTTTGCGGCTTATTTAATTTGATCAACTATTTATTCTATATTTTAAATTTACTTACTAATTTATGTTTATATTTACTTTTTTTAAAAGCAGACTATTGTCTTAACCTTCGTTGTTGTTATCACAACATTGCAGTTTTGTATCCTCCGGCGATCATAGGTGTATGTCAATACTTTTATCATTTACGGCTACAAGTTATCTACACAGAAGAGAACACACTATGCGACAACAGATTGATGAATTAAAGTGTTGGCTCATGGATTTGTTAGCATAGTAATGGGGAATTCAACGTCCGAGGTTGGCAGTGTGTACTTGGACTCAGTGGAAACATAGCAGTCCTAAATATAAGAACTAGACGAGCTATCCCTTGACATTTGTTAGAGGAACGAGAACAGTCGAACAGCGTAGATTAAATAAAGGGTGCAGTTTAGAATTACCTGTAGGTTACCCGAATTGAAAAACACCTGCTTGAATAAGACTGGATGGCTTAACAGTCAATAGTTCTCATGTAAATAACGTAAATAATGATTCCTTATCACCGAAATTCAGACAGAGATTATCTTTCTTTCTTTCTTTTCCTTCTTCCTAGCTTACATTTCTTTTCTTTTTCCTTTCTTTCATTCAGTTTTGGCTTGCATTTTTGCTTATATTTCTTTTTTTTTCCTTCCTTATTTATTCTGTTTGCTCATAATTATTTTATTTTTATATTTCTTTTTTCTATAAGATTCTTTCCTTTATTTTTCTTTCTTCCTTGATCGTTTATATTTCGTTCTTTCTTTATTTATTTCATTCTTTCATCCATCAATTTTTCCTCTTTCTTTCATTCATTAATTCTTTTTTTCATTCTTTCAACAATTCCTTCATTCATTCTTTCTAAATTTCTTTCTTTCATTCAATCTCCTTTTTTAATTCATTCTTTCTATCCTTCTTTCATGCCTTCATTCTATATTTCATTCATTCTTTCTTCCCTTCTTTATTTCTTTCTTTCTTATATTTTTTCTTTCCTGGTATATCTTTTAGTATTTCTGTCATATTTGATTGTTTAAATTTCATTATTCCTTCCTTCATTTTGTCCTTCTCTCTTTCTTTTATTCATTCTTTTTTTTTTTTCATTCAATATATATTCTTATATTTAGGACTGCTATGTTATAGCCCACTATGTTTTCACTGAGTCCAAGTACACACTGCCGGCCTCGGACGTTGAATTCACCATTTCTATGCTAACAAATCCATGAGCCAACACTTTAATTCTGTTGTCCATGAGCCATTCTTTCTCTACACTTTAAATTCTGTTTTCTTTCGCATTCATTGTTTCATTCATTCATTATTGGTTCTCACTTTTTCATTCATTCTTTCTTTCTATTTTTCATTCTTCTTTCTTTTCATTTAATCTTTCTCTCTTTCTTTCTTTCATTCATTCATTGTTTCATTCATTCATTGGTTCTCTCTTTCATTCATTCATTCTCTCTTTCTTTCTTTCATTCATTCATTCTTCATTCATTGTTTCTTTTTCATTCATTCTTTCATTTTCATTCATTGTTTCTCTTTCTTTCATTCATTCATTCATTCATTCATTTTTCTCTATTCTTTTCTTTTTCATTTTCTTTCATTCATTCATTCTCTCTTTCTTTCTTTCATTCATTCATTCTCTCTTTCTTTCTTTCATTCATTCATTGTTTCTCTCTTTCATTCATTCATTCATTCTTTCTATCTTTCTTTCATTCATTCATTCTCTCTTTCTTTCATTCATTCATTCTCTCTTTCTTTCTTTCATTCATTCTATCTTTCTTTCTTTCTTTCTTTCTTTCTTTGTTTCATTCATTGTTTCTCTCTTTCTTTTTCATTCTTCATTCTTTTCTTTCTTTTCATTCATTCTTTCCTTTCATTCATTCATTCTTTTCTATCTTTTCATTCATTCATTCTCTCTTTCTTTCTTTCATTCATTCATTCATTCTTCATTCTTCTTCTTTTCTTTTCTTTCTTTCTTTCTTTTCATTTTCTTTGTTTCATTCATTGTTTCTCTCTTTCTTTCATTCACTCATTCATTCATTCGTTCGTTCTTTTTTTCCTTTATATCTTTTCTTTCCTTGTATTTCTTTCAGCATGCTGACTATTATTTATGTTTTTTTTTACTTATTTACATTTCTTTCTATAGTTGTTTATAATTTCTTTTATATCTTCTTTCTTTATTTCTTTCGTTCATTTTTCTTTCTTTTATTATTTCTTTCAGTCATTCATTCATTCATTTTTTCTTTCTTTCATTTCTTTATTCTTTATTTCTTTCTTACTTTAATTCATGTTTTAGTTCTTTCATTTATTCATGTTCTTTTTCTTTCTTTCTTTATTTCTCTCTGTATCCATTCATTCATTTTTAGTTTCGTACTTATATATTTCCACCTTCCTGATATTTCTTCCTAGATGCTGGTTATTATTTTTGTCATTTTTTCTTATTTAAATGCATTTCCTTCCATCTTTCTTTCACATTATTTTTTTCTTTTTCCTTCTATCATCTTGGCTTAAATTAATGTTTTCTCATTATCGTCCTTGAATTAATTTCTTTATTGTATAATTGTTTATATTCATTTATCTTTTCTTTTTTCAATTTTATTCAATTACGTTTCTTTCTTTCAGTTTTTTGTAATTGTATTATACTTGTAAAATCCTTCTTCCTTTTTTATACAAATTTTTGTTCGCTTAGCTTTATTTCATATTCTTCTGTCCATTCTTTCTTTCTTTTCTTGTATTTCCTTCTCGAATACTTACATTCATTTTCTTTTTTTTTTCTCTTTTTGTTTACTTATATTTATTTCTCCGGCATACTTCTATTTCGATTTCTTTGTTGCCACTGACAACTTTCTTTCTTTCTTTCTTTCTTGCTTGCTTTCTTTCTTTCTATCTATCTTTCTATCTATCTTTCTTTCTTTCTTTCTTTCTTTTTGCTTGCTTGCTTTCTTTCTTTCTTTCTGGCTTGCTTGCTTTCTTTCTTTCTTTCTTTCTTTCTTTCTTGCTTGCTTGCTGTCTTTCTTTTTTCTTTCTTTCTCGCTTTCTTTCTTTCTTGCTTGCTTGCTTGCTTGCTTTCTTTCTTTCTTTCTTTCTTTTTTGCTTGCTTTCTTTCTTTCTTTCTCTCTTTCTTTCTTGTTTTCTTTCTTCCTTCCTTCCTTTCTTTCTTTCTTTCTTTCTTGCTTGCTTGCTTTTCTTTCTTTCTTTCTTTCTTTCTTTCTTTCTTTCTCGCTTGTAGGCCTTATTTCCTTTCTTTTTCTGTCTTTTTTATTAATTCTTTACTCTTTTCATTCTAATATTTCTTTTTCTTTAATGCTTTCCCATAATTCTTTCATACTTTCTTTTTCTTATTTACATAATTTATTAGATAGCATTTCTTTCTATCTTGCTTACCTTATAATTCTTTTTTCTTTTACTTTCATCTTTCTTACCTGTGGACTTGCTTATGTTTCATTCGTTCTTTTAGTTCCTTTCGTCCCCACTTATATCATTAAAGGACAATGACGGATACACGCAAGTTCTCTTTTCCTTTTTCCTGTCTTTACTCGAAGAGCAATGATAAATTACCTTAGTCTTGACTTCGTAAACATTACTAGAAGTCACGCCGAAAGAAGGAAAAAAGGCTTATGCAATGTCGACTTGCTCAAATTAACCGTCTCACTGAACTGGCCATTTCAGCGCCCAAGTAATCAAAAGAGATTGTGATGAATTATAGCGACACAATTGCTGAGCCATCAACGCAGAATTTCGTACTTGCAGGCACGCAAAACCAGAATCAAAGCTGGGAAGCTATCAGCCATTAACCAAATCTCATTGACCAAATGCTTCCTTCAATACTGAACTTAAATCTTACAAATATCAAATAAACTTAATGGATGATTTCCCAGGAGCCAATTTCTCCGAGTAAAAATATAATTTTTTTTCAAGGTGATATAACTGTGCGAAAATGGATACTTTTTAAGCGCCAAGCTTCCTGTCTATATTGATAATACCATTTAATCACACTTCTCCCTGCTACATTGAACTGGATTAGCGGTTTATACTGTGTTTTTTGTTCAGGATTGTCTTTCCGTCCCCTTCTAAAATATGCTTGAACTCTATACTTCTAAATTTTGTTAATCTGGGCCGCATTTTCGAAATTAAAGTTTGTACGCGCCCCACCAAATTTTATGTGATAAATGGTACATTTAAAAATTAAAAAGAAAACAGAGAGAGGATTAAAGGGAGGTAACCACGCATTCGAAGTCAGAAAATTATTATTGTTAACTCTCTCCTCCATTTTGCGGACTCTACTTACTATATGATTGATATAATACAAACATATCATAATGAAAAATCGGTCGTTAATTATTTATAACTATTTATATTGGAACTCAAGTATGCCATTACAAGTAATCCATGGTAAAATTTTAATTTTCAAGTTGTATTTATTTTTGGCATATGAATGTTTTAAAAATCTTTCTAAATCTTTGATTATCTTTCAATAATACCGCCAAACATTCTGTTCTACCAAACCAATGAGGCGGACCGCACTTTTTCGGTAACACTATTCTAACGTCTCCGCCTAAACTCTTAAATTTATTTACTATTTATTTAATAAATTCCTTCATGAGGATTACATAGTTTAGCCTGTCGTCTGGTTCACACTCCTCTCGGTCTTTCGAATAGGAGAAGAAGGTTGATCTCTTCTTTCTTGTTTCGAAATTCGTTTCGGATTCCTTCTAAATACGAATCGACGCTTGCGTCTTAGTGACATTATCGCTTTCCTTGGGTTGAAATGATTAAAACAACATTACAATCACGTATTGTCGAATCGGTATTTTTCCACGTCGCTAACGAATGCGTCAAAAGAGTTTTATAGTGGGTTTAGCGGCAATACCGTGGGAAAATATCTGAAGCCCTCCTTGATACTTCCACATTTGTCACTTCAGGCGATAGGCAGTAAAGCCAATACCATCCCGATGAAGGTACTGCCTGAGGGAAGGCTTCCTGGATCTTAAAATAATTTTTAAGCGTAGCTTAGATGTGTCCCAAGGACTAAAATCTTGAGTACACAGTGAGCATCGAACTCACTTTTCAGTCGTAATTGTTTGATAATCTTCCATAGATTTACACAATCTCTATCTATAAAAGCAGGGTGTGTGTGTGTGTGTGTGTGTGTGTGTGTGTGTGTGTGTGTGTGTGTGTGTGTGTGTAACGAATGCACGGCCGCAATTTTCGACGGATTTGCACCAAAATTTACATGCGCATGCTCCAAGTTAGCGGGAAGGCCAAGACCGACTATGCATTTCACAACTTCCATCGATAGTGGAAATAATTGATTTTTTCATGCTTCTACGGCAGTTTTCATGTAGTTTGCGGCCATTTTGTACTGGCCAGAGTGAGAGCCAATAGCTGACTGCCACGAATAGGCAGGAAGATTATATTGACCAGCGTGAGAGCCAACAGCTGACTGACACGAATGTTAACTAGCATGCAAAAAAATCGATAGCTGCATTCGTCACAAGTTGGAAAAATTTAAATCTGCATGGCACTTTACTCCAATTGACATTTTCTCCTTTGCTTTCTCTATGTATTTGAATTCAGTTGGCTTTTTTTTTCCTAGAAATGTTATATCACTAGTGATCGAGAGATTAATAATCGCTAGAATTCTACCTAAAACTAGGGCGAAAAAGAGATGGTCTCATATCTTTCCGAAAATCATAATGCCAAGTGAATTCAGCAGCATAAACGGTAAAATTTCAGTTCAACCCGTTGCTACCACTTTTCCTATTTCGCCAATAGCACCACATAATGTTTTCTATGAAATGTATATTTGCAGCAATGATTGATTTAAAGAACGAAAACTAGCGGCCTCGTAACTAACTGAGCATTTCAAATAGTATCAGTTGTTCTCAGGATGGTTATAATAATAATGATAATAAAAAGGTCCTTTTGAAAGTATTCTTAGCAGTCTCTACTCTGATCTTTCACAGGTAATGATGAATTGTTGCAAACACAAAGAGGTCCCTTCATTTGAGTGTCTATACGGAACCAATTGCAACCTTGAATAGAATTCATATATATATATATATATATATATACACAGTGTAACCCGGATATAAGAGACTCGGATATAAGAGAAACCCGGATATAAGAGAGATATTATCTGGTCCCAAATTAGAGCCTGTGTTAATGTAGATAAAATAGACCAATCCCGGATATAAGGGAAACCCGGATATAAGAGACTTCTTCTCCGGTCCCGACAACTCTCTTATATCCGGGTTACACTGTATATATATATATATATATATATATATATATATATATATAGTCGGATAGTTTTACAGCTACAGAAATTATCTGCCTCCATAGAATATTGCTGCCTTTTCTGGGTTGCAGCTTCCCAATCATTTCTTTTCTACCTCGATCGAGTTCAGTTGTGTTTGCAGGGTCTTGTGGTTGAATAATTATTTACTACCCAACAACCCCATTAAAAAAGACGCGAGGTCACAAGCCTATCGATTATCTATCGCTGTTTCCATGGAAAATGTTCTGATAAGTGCCACTCCTTAGCTCCACCAGTTCAGACATTTGCAACTGGTCATGTCATATATAGAGAGACAGCTCATGATCATTCCATTTGTCTCATTTCGATTCATGATCGTTCAAGCCTATTTGCGTCTGAATGCAATGAACTCGACTGGAATTTGAAATCAGCTCACCGATTTCACATTTCGAGCCGTTCTCCATTTCACCATGCTCACATCCACATTTACAGTACCTGATAATATTCGCAAGTGGTCACCCATATAGATGCTGGCCAGGCTCGGCATTGATTATATTTGGTGACTGGATGATAACCGGTTGTTCAATTTGATATGACCCTAAATTTGTAATGCAGGAATAGCTTTACATTTCTGTATATATTTCCAAGTTATTTTCCAGACATCTTTGGCGAAGTATTTGTTCTTCGTGAATCTATTTTTATTTGGATTTTTCTACGCATTTTCCATACCTTTTGTCACAGGTGGGGAGAAATTTACAAAACAAATTCTGTCAAAATAGAAATATAAACTTAACAGAAAAAATGCCCAAAATAAGATTCTTGTGACTTCAACGGGGTGTCTTGAAGAGAAAAATGACAGAAACCTGCTTCAGCAATCTTTTGAAATTTTGAACTCCATTATTTATTAAGGCCGAATAGAGTAAAATGATTTGAAGCTAGCCTACATTAACTATCCTATACCTAGCTAATCAGATAATCAGATTCACGACCCATTCATTCAATACGATTTTCTCATTCACAACAGAAACGTCTCCGTCATCATTCTATCATTTATATACCACAATATCACAAATCACAGGAAACCTACAACGTACACCATGACATAAACACTTTTGTGTATAAAATTACCCAAAATATTTAGCAATACTATGAAATCCGTGGGCCGGGTTGCACCAAAAACAAACTAAAATATAACAAAAGACACAAATAAAAAATAATTGATGCTAGTAGTGCTCGTCAAAGCTTCAAAAATAAAAGTGGCCACTGTATTCTGTCATCATGCAACATCAAGAGGCTTTCTCGCTTAGGGAGAGAGAAGGATTAAATAGATACGGGCATGGGAGAATCATAAACACTGACACGGTCGAGATAAAAAAAAATGGAGGCCAAAAACAAACTGTGGAGGTTGGGAATCTCGACGAAGAGGAAGCCGAGGATCAGGTCTGGAACCGCAATTACTCACATTAACTAGTTACACAAGAAGGATTCTATCTTAACCATGGGGGGCGCTCCACAAAAAATGCCCCGTTGTGACTTAGGCGTACTTTAAAAAAAAAAGAAAATCAAGGCTAGTCCTGTTCAGCAAACCAGGCTTGCCGCTGCTACCCAGCTTTCGCTGAAATCTGTCGATAAGAAACGGTCTTCAGTTCTGATCTTCATCTTGAGCTGGTGCTCAAAGAATCTGGACAAATCTTGATGAGAATAGCGTTGTATCACCAAGACATTTGCTAACAAAGAAATGAAAAGAAAAAAGTAAACCAAGAGAAAGAAAAAGTTTCGCGATGAAGCAAAACAATTTCAAGTGTCGCTGGAGGGTGAAAATTCAAAAAAATTAAACAAAACGAATTAAAGTCACAATTAAACACTAAAAAAGGATTAAGTCAGCAACAAAATAAAAAAAAGAATCACATGTCGTGGAACGTTGACACACAAAAATAAACATACACTAAAGAAAAATAAAGCTTTGCCTACAAAAAATGGGACTCAAATACTTGTAACACGAAGAAAATCAAGAAGGATGATTTAAACAAAATAAAAAAAATCAAAGAAAAACTAACAATAAAATGTAAATATTCAAAAGGTTTCATGGATAACAGAAAAAAAACAACAATTAAAACTATTAACTTAACGTGAATTCACAGTTCAAAAAAAATTGTCGTCAGGCAAAACATAGCTGGACTAGAACAAAAAATGCAATTCCCGTAACTATGAACTGTTCTCCCACATTAATATATAG